ACCCCCTCCTTAATTCACGTCATCCTCTTAAAAATAGTTGAGTGAAGGTGGGTTGTATGGCATTTATATTAAGTTCCATGAGTTTTCTGTTTCATATATATATTTTTTCAAATTTTAAAATAATTTTGAGGATGTTTTCACTTAAAGTTGATGAGTAGTATGAGTTCAAAACTTGTGAAATTTATCTCTTATAGAAAGAAGATTTGATAAATACACAAAAGTTTTATTTCAAAAATTTACAAAATCACAAAAGCATTGAGACAAAATTTCTGTCAAGGGAAGATGTGCTGTACAATCAGTGTAAGTAGCGAACACAATAAACCTTAGGTACGATTATCAGCCACGCAGCTTTCTTCTTATCACCTGTAGAGTTAAATAAATATTAAAGATAAAATAAGGATTTTGTTTTCAATGCTTTAATATTTTTTTCGAGATAAAGATTCGGTGAAAGAAATACACTTTATCACAAAGATGAGCTTCAAACATATTCAGTATGTATTTAGCCAGATTTCTCCAGTAGTGAGTAATATTTTTATCGTTTATATCCATTATATCACATGGAATTGAAAATCTGTCAACCAAACCAATAGATAAATATATACATAACCATTAACATGTTTAATCATTCCAATTTAAATATGCAAACGAAATTTCCACTTAAATTCCATATGAACGATTTTAAATTAGTTTTATTATTAATTACCTTGGGCTTCAAAATCAATAATAGTAATAGCAAACACCTCATATTCCGAGCATATTTGAAAAAAACAACAACCTAAATTTGAATCCCTTCCTTCGAACTTCTATTTCTTGTTGTGTGTTCGAGTATACCGATTCCGACAAAAATTCTTCATCCCTGAATTATGCCTAGTGCGATAGTAAGAAGGCAATGTATGAATCCACATTAAGTTGATACAAGTTGTGACAAAAAAAATCTTTCTTATTCACCTAATTTGGCCTCATGCAACTTTTTTTTTATTTCCTACAGTTAAATCTTGCTGAAAGGAAACGAATTTTACCTCAGTTCAAGAGCTTCAGGCATAAACGGAAAATCTCTTGAAAGGCCTTACATAACTCTCGTTCCAGAGCTGTTACTAGCAATGGCAGCGCCGAATGTAGAAGTGTGTGAAATGCTGAAGGGAACTACTTTGAAAGTGATACTGTCACGGAAAACTGATTCTGTAAATACAATGACTTATTGGATCAGTCTCGTTGTGTGTGTGTCACATCGTACATTCACTTAAATTGACGTTGAGCTAGTTATTGGCGATGAATTTCAAAACTCTGGACGAAGATCAAGTGACAAAGATGACATTTGAGCAGAAAAGTGCAACATGCTCTTAACGTCCTAATTACTTCAGGCGAGTACTTGCAAGTTTAAATCCAGCAGCAGTTACATTATCTTACCCATTGATTAACTGATTAGTCAATAATACCACAATTAAAAACTACTGAAGGGTTATTAGCGGCAAATCTTGTCATTTTGAGCAACGGAAAAGACTGAGAAAAAAATTTGAGATGTAACGCAACTCTTCAGACTTCTACACCATGTTAACGTGAGGACTTAGTGTGAAGTAGCACAAAATATGTCGAGACTCAATGGATCTTTTGTGACATCAGGGCTCAAAGTCCCAAATCGTCAGAAATAACGTCATCCAGGACTTCACGATCATAACCATTCGACTACCACGGTATCAACATCTTGCAAGGTTTCATAACAATGAACAACGACGAAACAACGAGGAAAACATAACTCGAAAACATGTCTTAACATTACAGATATAGGTTTCTTGGATCGTTTACAATTTAAAGAAATAATGAAAATAAGATATTCAAAAGAGATTTTTTTTTAACACACAAATCATTATGACTTTCTACATTTCTTAAATTTTATAAATGGTATCATTAAATTCTAAAAATTAGAAGAAATATTTAAGTATGTATTATAAACAGATACATTAAGATAAAACCGTACTGACTCAAGCCACATAAATTTTCTAATATATTTAAAAGAAACATTTTAAAATATTTCTTAGTAAATGCTCAAAAACTTTCAGGATTAAAGCATTTCCAAATTCTTTTCTACAGAATGAATACATTTTCGCTCTTTACGATGCAGCCGAAATGAAATTACCTAATATACAAAAATAAATGGACCGTAATATTCTATTTTTCACAGCAAATGAGACGAGCGATAAATAAAAATAAACATGAAAAGAGTGAAAAAGCATTTCGTAAGAAAATAAAGTTTTTTTTTTCTTCTGATTTATCTAGGTTTTTGTTCAAAAATGACTTTTTATCCAGTCCATTCCTTATATGGATATGTTGTTGACGTTGAACGTTAAGAAAGGGGTAGTATAAGCAGAGAGAGACGAAAAAAAAAAAAAAAATAAAACTAATATATTTTCACAATTTATGTCAATCGATCTCTTACACAAAACCTTTCAAATGCATATAGTTCAAAACTGAATAAAACTAAATATATTTTAAGCATCAAACTCTTATATCAACAATAACTTTTAAATGTGAAATATATTTTAGGTGAGACGCTTACGTTATATAAAGCACACTTTGTACTGCGGGAATATGACAAAATGTAATAAGTAAATATATTTATTGCTTTAAAATGTAACTTCTCTAGCAGAAAACTTTAAGTATTCTTATTTTCGCATTTTAGAACAAAAATAAATACACTGAATAATGTTTGTGTAAATGGAATCAATTTTCAAGGGAATAATTTATTCCTTGATTCAATGAAAATTGACATTTGTAGTTAAGACAACTCTTTTTTCTTAAAAAAATAATTTTATTTAGAATTTTTTTTCTAAAACATAATACTGGACAGAAAAATTTTAGAATTATACTGCATATACAGAGGTGGGTTCATTACTTCTTAACGTTGCACGTAGAAGCAACACAAGGCTATTCGATCTCATACCAGACACATTAATTTTAAAACTATTAAACGTTTAGAATACATTATGATGAAATAGATAGCGTAGAAGACTGAAAATTCATTATTTATACAATTATAAGTTTGAATACAAATTCATGCATATAACTTTAGAATATGTATTACGTTTTCATGATAATGTTTTCTCACACATTTTTACAACTTTATTTTAATCCGAGTAACTTTATTTGCAAAAAATGTAAAAAAAAACACGCCGAGTTTTTGTAAAATATACATAATTTTTGAGTTATTCCATGTACCTTGCAATTTTTTTGTTAGTAAATTTATTTTTATCAATTAAGAAAACAATGAAATATTATTTACTTAATGGGAAAAATGTATCTTGAAATATACATTTAAGTTCATTATGTTTTTAATTTTTATTTTGGCCGTGAATATTAAAGTTCGGAAAAAGATTATTTATATGGATAGTACGTTAAAAAGTAATGAGTCGTGGCGCACACAAGGGGGAAGGGGGGTTCCAGACCCGCCCCCAAAGCCCTTAATTTTTTCCGATTGATTACAATTCTAAGTATATAGTACGTAAAATTTAATTAAGTATTTGTTATTAATGATTAATTTTATTAATTAATGCTAATTATTTATTCAATAATTAGTTTTTTACTGTGTTTTGTTCCCGAAAATCGACACAATCAAAAGGATCATGATACAAGAATGGTGAACTTTCGGACCCTTAGCAAATTCTTAGCAATTCACAACAATAATTGAGACTGCATCAAAATCAACTTTAGTCTCTGCATTAAATGCATATCATGTAGACAATGATACTTTAATTACTTCAAAAAGTATACTCACTTATTTCACATATTTCTTCTAATGAGCACAAATTACAGATGATAAAACTCCTGAGCTAGCATCAATGAATGATAATGCTCTATTGGACTCGTTATCGATATCGGAAACATATTGAACAAACATTTTTCACTGAGGAGTCACTGGGGAAGGGAGTTCGCACAACTCGGACGAGTCAGTGACCTCAATTTGAGACACGTGAACGATTAAGACAAGAAATTCACCTTGAACTCAGAAAACTGAGCTTATCAAGGTCAAGTGTCTTCATAACAAAAAGTACTTCCTCAACTCATCTAACCTTCAATCAATAAGTTTTAATACCAGTTTTTGTCAACTGAACTTTCAATGGAAATTTCAATTTCTCAAGTTCCTCAATTCTGATATAAGTACCGCAAATTAAGAGAATTATAAAATAACGCACGTCTTGAAATATTAATTTAATTTAATTACACGCTCCCAATTGAAAAATATTGGTATAATCAACAAAAAATAGTACTTCTTCGAGGAAAATTTTCTTAATTTTATACCAGATCTCGAACAATCCATTTAATCTCGATTAGTAGAAAAAATAATTTTTTTTGCATTAGTCTTGCCTATTAAAATGTCACATCGTAACAGGAATATTAGTGATGGATTTCGAAATTTCATACTGTGATCAGGTGACGAAAATGACGCATGAACTAGTGCGCCACTTTCGAAATTTACTTAGCAGGAATACTAGCGACGAGTTTAGAAATTCCAAATAGCTATCAGGTGACGAAATTAACAAATGAATGCATCACTTTCGAAATTTACTTACCATACCACGCAAAGAAATTCGTGATCCAAATGGATACAACGAGAAGCTGAACCCATTATTTTAATCGGCGCTAGTTGATGGTATCGGTTGATTGATTGATTGAATATTAACGTCGCACTGTTCAGCTACACGAGTTGATGGTATCGGAAAACAAACCTTCTAATATAATCTCCTTTCCCCACAATTCCTACTATTAGTTTACATTCTCCCTATATATATTTATTTATATATAACATAATGTTCAAATTTCCAATCGTTAATAAAATACTTTTTATTCATCCACTCAAGCTCAAATACATTTTTTAACTTGTAGTGAATGACACTTGATGTTAATAGTTTTTTTAAATTAATTCATTAATTAAATTAAAAAATGAATAAATAGTAACAAACAAAAATAATAGTCCACATCATATATTAAAAAAAACCGCTCGTTGTGTCCCGGTAGCGCAATGGATAGCGCGTTGGACTTCTACTACAACAGCAGTGGGTTCGAAACCCACCTGAAATGGGCTAATTTCTGAGAATGATATTTCTTATTATACTATTTTACTGGAATAATTAAATTTAAATAATGAATAAATAGTAAACAAAAATAGTCCAAAACCATATATCGAAAGGAAAATGAAAAACTGCAAAGAAAATCCTTCTCTATTTTCCACTTAATATTGTGATTCTGTCATGAATATACATATTTATATTAATTGTAACTCTATTTAATAAAAAGTAACTAAAATAAAATTTATCTTTGTTGACCTAAATAGAAATTGACTTAATTTTTTTTAAATATTACGTTTATAAATAGATTATAGTTCATTGCATCTCTATGTATATATATATACATATATATATATATCTTAATAACATAATTAACCTGAGTTTACAAATAAACTATTTCAAATGAAGTCAGTAAGTCGAAATCGGTTTGTTTTAAAACATTAAATTATGATATACGCAAGCTACTGTTAGCGAATGTCGCAACTCTGAGATAAAAATGAATAATCAACTGTTTAAAACCACCCGAGATACCGGTGCTGGGCCAACCCTCTTCAAGTTTTCACACCAAGCCAGTGGAAGGACTTAAAGCCTCGACAGATTTAATGTGCATTAACCCCCATTACACGGGGAATATTTAGAGGCAATAAGGACTTGAATCTACGACTCGGCAACGTGGGCCACGTGTTCGCGACTATGAACCCAGGGGTACAATAATCGACCATGACCACAAGGGTACAAATCTATACAGAAAGTTTTTTTATTCTATTTAACAAAAGTATTTCATTTATTATGTATTAAATTTGATTTGATTTTTAACTTTGCACTTTGATGCTACACGAAGGCAAAACACGTAATTTTTATTGCAGGTCAAGCGACGAAGATGAAACACGAGCTGAAATACCACTCTCCCAACTTTTCATTCCACGTGAACGTGAGGATATTAAGCTTCAGCTCCTCTACACGACGAATCTTTAGAGGCATCATGACCGGAACCCATGACTAAACAGAAACCACATGAGCCACGAGTTCACAACTATGAAGTCATCATTGTATATTAGAAGCAAAATAACTATTGGCGGCGAACCTGGTAAGCTTGAACTAAAGTGAGTGAGTGAATATTAACGTCGCACTGTTCAGCAACACGAGAGCTTTTGGCGATGGACCACGTAATTTTGAACCATGGTCAAGTGACGTGGACGACACCTGAGCTGGCACCCCGCTCTCCTAACTACAACACCAACGGGATGACGTTTGAGCTCTCAATAGATTTAACGTGCACCCTACACTGCGGGTCTTTAGTGGTACTGGGCTCGAACTCATGACACGCCTTCCATGATCCGATATCTAGAGCACTGGGCTACCCCAGCCCTAAGTTTCAACCAAAACTAAATGACGAAGATTATGCTAGAATTGACTCCTCTCCCAACCCCATTCTCAATATTCCCTCACCACGCAACTGGGAGAATTTTAAGTTGCAATAGATTTAACGTTCATCGTCATTCTTTAGACCTGCACCGTAGAACATCAGGACTGGATAAAACGACTCGCCAAAAATAAATCCTTCCGCGAAATTGCGATTATACCCCCTCAGGTAGGCGGATACATTTAAAAAAATACACAACCGAGATTTTAGCATTTTAGAAATAAAATTCAATAAAAGGCAGAACAAAAGAAATCAATTGAAATGAGTTCATATAGAGCAGCGGTTCTTTAACTGTGGTCCACGGACTCTTGAGGGTCCGCAGTGCCTCTCTAGGGCAGGGATGGCGAACCACTGACACGCGTGCCATTGATGGCACGCGGTACAAGATGTTGAGATCCCCCTCTTTTAAAAACTGAAAGGACTCGTGGAAATATTGAAAGATGTGCCATACTAAATAGATCACTAAATTAACCCTAATGAAAAAAACTACCAGAGCATATATTTTGATCAAGAATATAAGTCGGGGGAGGAATGTTCAAAATCTTATGGGTCCGCAATGTCACGCTGATACATAAGGGGGGGTGCAAAAGTTTAAGAACCACTGATATAGAGGCATTAATTTAAACAACGAGCTACTTGTTATTAATTTCTGAATTCTGTGTTAGAGAGATAAGATAAGAGCAATATTCGAGCTTATATAGTTCCTTCTGGAAACCTTTAAAAGTTTGGGAAGTCCAATTGGTCATCTGACATTAGTTCCATTATAAGATTCTAACGCAGTACATTTAATTTAAATCTCGAACTATTATGCCACATGGAGATATATTGTGTTGCTCATCTCTCATTGTTACGCACTACAATATAAATGATAATATCCGTTTTCTCGTTAGACACATTACCTGCTATCATTCTATAATAAACGTTTTAACCAATCAAGTTACCACAGTTTGAGGTTTCTTTGTTTAAATATAATTGGTAGATTATTAGATTAATTTTAATTAATACCGCTCTGAAGTTAGATAGATTTAAGAATTTCATAAAAATAAATAGTTTCCAACAAAAAGTTACATGTGGTTGGAATGTTTTCGCAATTCATGTAATTATAATTACATACATATAATATCCTGCTTTATATATTGTGTGTGTTGTTCTATATATTATCTTAAGTTAAAAATATCATTTAGGAAAATTTAGCAGCATTCAAAACATCAAATTATTTTCGGATTTGAAAATGAAAATTTCAACATCAGCATGATCAATTAAAATGAAAGTAACATTTTTCCTTTCTAAACTTTTTTTATTTATAAGGAAACACGGATTATAACTTTAGCTGATCGATTTTTAATCTTACGGCATGCGCTATTTCTTTCAGTTTACGTAAACACAAAATTTTTCATTCAACAACTATTCGGTTATTCATACTGTAAAACAATTTTATAAGAATTATAACTTAACTGATTCATGTACATTTGAAATACCTTAAAACGTTATCTTCTACGATATAGCAAACAACCTTACTGTGTAATTATCGCGTAATGAGAAAATAATGATGTTCGTAGCAGTTACACAAACAAATCAAGAGGGAAAAATATATAATATACAATAAAAATGCACAAAAAATTAGTTTTTGGAAAACATTTCTCCCTGTTACTCAGATATCATTAATTATAATTATAGCAGATTAAGATTTTTTTCTTGTATTTTTACTTCTTTCCCTCCCATTATACTATAAAATTATAGTTTTTTTTTTTTTTAAGATCCCACTTGAATACAATGTTCCAATTAAAACTTGAATTCCAACATCATAGATTGGAATGTTAAAAATTTCGAAGAAAATCGTACAACTATTAAAAAATTCTAAAAGCAACCATCATTTAAATTTATAATTTACATATAAATACACTCAGCTTTATTTTATACGGTATCATTTTTTATACACACACGGTAAGGTTCCTTAAAAACCCGTGCAAAAAATACATGCGCCATATGGTAAATTTGGAGATATGTTCCACAAATTAAAAAAAAAATAATCGTGCAAGATTTTCCCAAAAAACCGTGTAAAAAAGTAATGATGAAATCCATGTTGTTTATTAAACAAAAATAGTTAATTTTTATATCAAAAAAATTGAAATTAAGTGCTCCATAAAAATTCACACAGTTTATAAGTACATACAACATATAAAAATTCAAACTGAAATTAAGAATAAAATTACTACTAACAAGTACGTTTATTAGAAACTCGATCAAAAATGATATCATCAGCAGATGAGTCAAGCTTTGATTTAAATGAAGAATTCCGTTCGTTAGTAAAGGCCACTGTTGGATTTTTAGTTGCTCCAAATCTTTTATACATCAGCGGGGTTTTTTTTCTCAAGTTGCTGCTATAATTCTTCAATATCCTGCTACATGAAACTTAATTCGTCAAAATTTTAATGCCCACTCTGTTTTAGAATCACAAGAAAATGTTGTTCCCTACTTGCAGCACATTTTAAGTCCTCGCGAATTAAATAAGGCGTTATTAACTGTGAATTTCACCTTCAATTTCGTCATTATCACAACTTCTTTATTATCATAAACTGTCATAAATTCGATCACATTGTCCTCGTCTAAACGGCACGAAACCCAATTTTTTTTGGAATTCTAAACAAGCAAAAAAAAAAAGAAATGTAAAAAATTTGTGTGCTAAAACAAAAATAAAATAATGTAAAAAAGAATTTCACTTCACGGTCTGTGGCATTTCAAAATCGTGTAAAAAAAGGGTAGGGTGTATATACATTTATACTTCACATTTTCAGCATCCAACTACATTTGAAAACAAAGGAAAACACCAAATCTCCCAGATCCTTAATTTAAATGAAAAACACTTCTATGTGAAATTTTTTTTTTATTTCTGTCTAGAGCAATGATCGGAATGTTAATGATTCAACATTCATTCCATGAGTTGCGAATGACGACACCTTTATACTTGCTAATTACATTTTAAATGACAAGGGCACTTCAGGTCATAATATTTCAGGGACAGTAGCTTAAATGAGTCTATTAGAGAATCGAATCATAATGTCGTTGAACAACGCCTCATTTTTCAGCTCCACACAACGATAAAGGAAATAACTGATGCCCGTTATATTTCACGTACTACATACAGCCTTAATATTCAGCACATCAGTCTTTTGTGAAAATGAGCTTGAACCAACAAAATTACTTCCCATCAGACGAACAATTAACAAACTAATTTGTTCGCCGCCAAGGTTAAGATTGAATCGTTTAATAACACCTTTTCAAACAGGTAAACAGCACTTATAATCTAATGAGGATCAAATTCCCAGGTATACTTACGTAATTTGGTATTTAAGGAGCAGGGAAATAATTTACCTGACAATGAGCATCAGTTTGTGCAGTCTTAGAATAACTTCAGCGGTTCTTAAACTGTGGTTCACGGACCCCCAGGGGTGCCCAAAACCTATCTAGGGGATCCGCAAAGGTCTCATTAAATGTTAAGATTTCTCTTTTTTTCAAACTCCGAAAGGCCTAGTGGATAAATTGAAAGGTATTATATCTAGACTAGATTACTAAATTGCTCCCCACGAAAA